GCCCAAAAAGGACTCTGGCATGCTAATATTGTACATTAATATATTGAAATAAAAAAATACTTAAAGACAGCTGTATCAAATCCAATAAATGACACCTGTAGGTCAGTAATGAATATGGTTCTCTCGGCGACTGGTAAGAACTGTGGATCAGACTCTTCATTTTCCTTGTGCAGTTCTAGAAGTGCTAGAAGAATTTAAAATCTCTAGATGGACTTCTGGTATTTCCCTTTATTGAGGGCTTATGCTCTGTTTTAACATTTTTTTTTTTGAGTGGAAGAAGTTTAATAATACAGCTCCACACTGGCAAGGATCATTTCTCCAGAAACACTGCAGGCTCCTGAAACAACTCTAGCAGTGTCTGTAGTTATAAAAATGTGAACTGGCACGAACACAATATCTGTCTCATGCAACTACCTGATGCTGATTTGGAGCTTCATAAAAACATTCTGACTAACTTCCCTGTACTGCTTATTTCATACCTGATGAGTCTTTGGATCATCCCATTCAAACTTAAGACTTGTCTTACTCTTTCCAAAATGAGTGATCTCTTGTGTTCAGAATTCAAGGCTACCGATAAGAAGGAATCATTGTGGATCAGAAGCAGCAGGCTAAAAATTGGGAAGATAAACTAAGACAAAGCTTTTATTAGACATTTTTAAGGATTCCTATCTTTTAACCAGAAAAGCATTTCTAGCAGTCAAAGGCTGAAAGATTCACTTTTAGTGAAGTCTGGCCTTTGCAGCACTTGTATTTAACAGCTGCACTGTATAGCAAGAGTAAATTAAATTGATGTTTTGTTTTACTTCTGGTATAATATGAGTTGTTTGCATTTTGGCAAGCTCCATCTGAAGTAACTGAGAAGGGTTAATTGCAGACCACTGACCTTAGCTAAACAAAATGTAAAGCTCCAAGTTTTGATGAGAAAGCTCAGTAAGCTATGAGCTAACTCTCCTTTATTGAATTTATATTTGCAAGCTTAACAGTGTGAGGAATGATAATCCAAACAAATGAAAGTTTCCTCATATCAGTAAAAAAGCCAAGGACTGTTTGTGCCCCATACTTCTCCCAAAGCATGATAATGTTTGCAAGCTAGTCATGTTATTGGGACTGTAGGCTTTGCTTAACTAATACATCACTGCATGACAATAAATGAACACAGCACTGAAAACGTGTACTTTCCTAATGTAAAGGCCTTCAGATGTTCTGAAGGGCAGGAGATTCTTCTGCTTTACATGGAGCAGCTAGTACTTCCACTCAATTTGACTCTAAAGTTACTACATACCATCTTGCTCCTTCTAACATTAATAGCAAAACTCTCACTGACTTCTCCAGGGGTTAAACAAGTCTATTACATTCACTCTGTCTGGAGTAGGAATGGTTTGTTTTGATTTAGAAATCTGATTTTCTCTTACATCGGGTGTGCTTAAAACTCACAGCAAGTAGCTAAGCTTGTCATGATCAAGTATATATTTAAGCTGAAAGAACACTTTATCTAGGCTATGCAGAGAGTCAAGATGCAAAAACTGCATTTCATTAATAGCTCTGCGCTTTTATAAGTTCAGTAGTCAAGCTAAGTGCATGACTGAAACTGCATGGTATGTCAGCTTCAATGAAACAGCTGTTTTATTGTCCTAGTTTAGTTATCTCCAGCTCAACTTACCCAAGTAACAGCAACATTTCATAAACCTATCAACACTTCCCTAGTAAATACTTTCTTCTAACACAGAAGCTGCTGAATCAAGCACCAGACGTTGGCTAGCTGATAGTGTTTGCTCTTATGCTCTATTAAACAGTAGAAATAAACCAAAATTGGATTCTGGTATTGGATCTTCTTCACTTGTCCTCCATTTTTAAACAGACTGCAGTATTTACAAGAGGAGAAAGAACTTGTTCTGTGAGTAGGCTCTGGGTTTTGTTGTTTTGTTGGTTACTAAAACATTCTCCAAACACAACTTACGTGAGAAAGAAAAGATAATTTGTCAAGCAGGAAATAAATACAAAGAAACAATTTTCTTTACTCATTTTTGGGCTTTCACTTCAGAACACAGATTTACTTTCCCCTCCCCCAAGTTAATATCACCTTTCACAAAATGGGATGGTGAGGTACGTTATCAGAAGGAAGTTAAATAAAGTATCATCCAGATCCACTCAGCTATAAAGTCCAGATCTTTCTTTTTCCCCCTCTGCTGGGGAGTTTATTGGCAACCTCATCCTCTGATGATGACATATAAGCAGGAGATTGATTTCAGATGTGTATTGCTTTCTCCTAAACGTCATCATCTTTGATGTGGATATTTTGGTTATCTATCTTTTTGGTCAATTTATCTACCCAAATCTGCAACAGCTCTTCAGGGAAGTGCAGGTAACAGTGTTGGGGAAGACATTTTTGACTTACTCGTGAACCCCTGCATCAAATAGGTTTTCAGTTCCAGCAGTGACTCATTTGAAGTAGTTACTGCTGGCAACAGTGGCTGAATAAACTGGTTATATGTGTAACCCCCTACTTCTTGGATGATTTTTAATGATGTACTACAGATGATTCCTTTCCTTGGGCTTTGCTAGCTGACATCATCTTGGGTTCCTAATTCCTCTTTTCCTTCCCTTTCTTCACCCTCCTCCCTTTTAAATTTTTTTCTTCTTTTTTCAGAGTCCTCTGCTGCAAAAGCATAGAGGACGGCACCCATGACAACTGCAGGTTGTATAAGCTTCTTCATTTAGATTGTTATTTAAAGTTCAACTTTCATGATTAGTCAAATGAATCAAAAAGATAATTGAGAGAGAGAGATTATGTGACACAGACATTAGTCACTACTGCTGATAGTTGGGTATATGGTTTTGTATCACCTATGCAAAACGTGTTGGTGTCAAGCTTGTATTCACTGGGCATTTGTCTGTAAGAAATTGTCTGGACTTAGAGTGAATTTTCTCCTAGATTTTTCTTCCATGATTATCATCTTTCCATCTGTTTGTCATAGCTCTCTGTGGCTTGAAAAAGGTGTAAGGAGAAGGTCCCTCATTTTTTCAGACCTTGTTCCTTTCAGCTTAGTCTATTGCCATGTGCTTCTTAGTCACTGAGTGACAATGGTATAACTCTCACCCCCAAACCCTCCTATTCAATTTAACTTATCAGCGTCTCTTAAGAGTTTTGTTCCTTTCTGGTTTGAAAGACAATGCATTATGCACTGCTGTAGTACTGCACACCTCACTTCTCCTGGTGTTAATGAGATTCTGGAGTCAGAACCTCTAAAATCTGTTTGAGATCACAAGCTTCAGTCCCCTGCACGATGGAGGGATTCTGTTTTGCAATTTCCTTTTCACATTTTTGTCTTCCAAGGTTTCAGGCTTGTTTTCAAATGCCAATCACTACAGAATTGCTAGGTTTGAGCTGTAGGCTTTTACTGACGGCCAATTGCTTTTTTTTTGTGCTGCAACGCTGTTACTGGCTCCTGGGGAAATAAACTCCATAGGCAACCTGCTCTGTGTTTTGTGTCTGGAGCACAATATGCAATTACTGTTACACAGCCTTTGCCCAATGTCAAGCTTGTAGCCCCACACAAGTTCTGAAGGTTAGTGGTAGTCTCAGCTCCAGGTACTTGTAAGCAAAGATACAGCTTCTAGATATTAATGACTGTTTTTTATAGAGAACCTTGTGGCAAGGATGCAGAATATAACCCAGAGCTGACTTAAGAAACCTGCATAGGGAACGCAAGTCTAATTTAATACTGTTATCTTTTTCAGGGTCCATCCTTTTGCTCTTTGCTATTGAGGGAGTGGGGCTATACGTGCCCACTACTTACTTTAGTGACTAAAAGGGGACTTAAACAGTATTTTGATCAAAGAAAAATCTTCTTATATGTCCAAGTGCAGGGGATCATGTATGTGTGCTCCCAACATAGTGGGGGTCCTACCATTTTTCCCATTATATCTGGGCCACTGAGAAACACCCATAGCACAAAGTCCAACATAGTCCTTGCCCTTCATAAACAGTTGCAGAAACTTTTTCTGGGCATCTTAATGCTTAGAGGTCATACATGAATTAGAAGACCTATGTTAACCCCTTCCTTTAAACTAATATTCCCAAAGCCTATAGGAGTGCCCTAACCACTGTCCAGTCCCTAAACTTCATAGCTGTCCCTGAAACCGGTCTGGATACTCTCTTGTGGAATAGATTTCAGTCCTCCTAGGCTGGGAAAAGACCTGAATCTGAAGCTCACACTGCCTGGGAGAATGCTCTACACATTAAGTCACAGAAAGCTTCCCTTCTGTACAATAGCTTATATAGTATGTAAGGAAACACCATTTTCTTTAGAAATTGCATATGTTAAAGAAATCAGTCCTGCTCAATTACAAAGCTGCCCAAAGGAAATGACTGAGTACTCTGGACAAATGGAGACATCCATCTTGCAATCCTCACGCTGGTGAGGATTAACTAGGATATAAACAGGGTAAGGAGATGGGATAGGAAGTTGAGATCTTCCTGTTCAGTGTTTGGCTTTTTTTTTTTTTTTACTTTACTTGATGTACAGCAACGCTAGGTACTTTGCTCTATCTCTGAATCAGCACACTGGCACCTACAAAGGCATTGACTATATGGGAAGTCCTAAGTAGTTGTTTTGGGTCTCCCCTATCATGACAGTATAGCATTTAGTATAGGATTTTACATAAAGAAAATGTGCAGGGTTTTTTTGTAATTCAGAAACCATTCAACCACTAAAATGTGTACACCAGATACCTTTAAAAACCTGGATGCAAATTTACACAGCATATATGCTTAATTGACATCTTTTCCTTCCCACAAGAATACACTGATTTTTTGACACAATGATCACAGCTACTCATATGCTAGAAAACTCAAAAAATCAGTTTGATTCTATCCCAAAGCATATATTAAATGTCAAAAGAATATACTGCTGCAAAGGATCTGGTGGCTTGCCACAATGGAAATGACTCAGCTAGCTTGTTTAAAGAATGATATTTTAATTGCTTTGTAGATCACAAACCTGCCAGCCTTGTAATTTACACTGCTGAAGAACAAGACGACATCTCTCCTTGGCAGACAACTTCTTCTTCTCTCCTGCTGCTGTATCAGCCAAATCTTTATACCTAGAAAAATCAGCAGAAGTAGAGTTACTCTAATGGCCTGGTTGACATCTTTGCAGACACTGTCAGTTTTCCTTTGACTCGCAAATCTTTGATATCCGAACTGGAAGCTTAGGATTCTGCTAAGAGTGAAGAAAACAAGGCGGCCAATCACTTTAAATCTTTTATATTATTAGACGTGACCTTGGTTAATAACAGTGTGGGACAAGTGATGCCTAAAACCCAGATTTGCTTCCTGTCAGTTCTTTGGATGCCTCACTGAAAATCAATGCAGAAAGAATGAAAGCCTCACCAACTGATTTCATTGGTAGTGAATCGGGTCACTGAAAGGAGGGAAATATTTTTTTAGTATATGTCATATGACATATGCCTATTAAGGAGTAATTCATAAGAAAGTGACATTGATAAAAATGTTTTCCATCAGTCTGAAATAATTTTTTCTTAATTTTGAACAAAAAGTCTTATAGCAAAGAGACTTTAAGGAACTCGATCGGTTTACTGTCGGAAAGAAGATCAAGAGGAGATTTGATTGTCGCATCGAGTACCTTCAAAGGCAGAGAATGCTAGATATTAAAGGGCTCTTTGATGTACCAGATAAAAGAACTAATGCAGGAAACTTAAGTCATACAAAGTCAAATAACGTATAAAATTCAAATTTTAACTGTGGACTTACTACAGCATATTCGTAAAGAAACTGATGAATTTTATACATCTCGATGCTTCATATTATTACTATATGAATACCTTTCTTGAAGGTATTCCTCAGTCTAGATCTGTCTGGATGCAATGAGCTGGAATGCTTTTTCATTATAAAAAGCCAGCTTTTGAAAAGGAAAGATTTTACAAATGTGTCACTTTTGATTAAAGTCCCAATGAAACAGGGGTAAGTTTTGAAGTTTGTGTGTTAACTACATTTCCTGACATTTTATTTATTTGGTTCCTTAACAGCTGAATTCACCTATAGCTCTGGTACAACCCAAAACTGTGCTGTCCTGGGACCACTCACACAGACCATGGCAGGCAAAGCTGCAGGGCTGGAATGACTCCAGGGACATCAATGGTCCCAGGAGCTGTAGCAACTCTGGAGCAATGTCTGCAGGAAAACTGCTGTAGGGCCAAATTTCACCTAGACTTCTAGTTTCCTGGAGCTGCACAGACCCTTGGGTATCTCAGCTCCTGCAGTCTGGAAATGTTCTCTGGTCTGGTAGCAGTCCTGCTGAGGAATCCATGGCTAAGTCTATACTAGTAATTGAAATGTGAGAGGGATTATTTCTCTGGCATAGAAACCGTCTGGCAAAAAACCATCCTATTTATTAAGTATTCTGCTATGTTCTATTAAACTGTCACCCTCCAACGGAGCGTAGCCATATCTAGGCTGCCTTCTGGGACTGGTCACTAGCTTGTCTTAATTCCCAAATCGTGCCCAGGAATTGTTTGGAGGAATGCTGATTGGAAGGGGCCAAAACTTCACCAGAGATCCTTTTAGTTTGTCTAACACTCCAGATTAGCAGTAGAAAACTGTGGTTCCTACTTTCCCAATAGCTCAACCAGCTGTATGGGCATGAAGACATTTGTTTTATGGACTGCTAGTAGGGCTGGGGCCACCTCGTTTCCATACTTGTATCAACTGGATTTTCTCAGAAATCATGGAGAATCAGAGGTGTTAGAGAGACAACTGGAAAGCTTAGCAACTGCTGACTGAAACAAAGATGATTCAGCATTGACTCACAATGCATGAATGTGAAGAAGTGACTGTGAAAGTGGTCAGCCTGAAACTCACTCACAGCAGAAATCCAAAGAAACATATTTCCTTCCTGAAACAGAGCCAAATTAAAATTAACAAGGTTGAAATTCTAAGTTTGGATCAGATTTACTTTAGATCCATGAAAATCACAGGACTCAAAACAAGGATAACCAAACATTCTTTACAATCTGTATTATACAGGAGGCCAGACAAAAATGATCCACTGCTTCCTCCCGCTTTAAAAGTCTCTGAAATTCCACCACATTATCCTGGAAGTCTGATCAGAGTTCACAATTCCCTTCTATCCATTAAAGCAAGCTCTGTCTTAGGAAAAGAGGATGGGCTAAGGGTTGTGGTAGCAGAGAAAGAGCTAACAATGGAAATTTAATTCTGCCACAAACTTCCTCTGTGAACATAGCAAGTCATTTGGAAGATGATCTACCTTTCCCTATGTTAGACACTAAAAAGCTACGCTCCTAGCTGGAATTAGTCATCTTGTTCTCAAAACAGTCTGTGAAGATAGGTGTTTCCATAGGGTGACTTGTTCTATGCATCCTAGATATTTTTGTTAAAATGAGAAGAGGTTGCCCTCTGGAGGTGCCTTTCTCTACTGACCCTAGATGGACTCAGAAGAGAAGTCCAGGCTGGATGCTTGCATGCTGGGTGGCTGAGAGGAATCTCACAAGTCTACTTGTCTGACTGACTTACTCATCTGCAGAGTAACTAACGGAGGGACTAACAGAACTTCCTTATTTCTCCTATCTATCTTGTTCAAATATACTGGCTATCTAAGCACCTAGGATGAAAAAGCACCTTTAGGCCTGGTGTCATCATCTGCCATCTCAGATCAATCATTTTTATCTTGTATAAGACCGCTTAAACAAAAACAACACAAAATTTGTAGCTATTTTTCAGCCAGAATGGTTCCCGGATTTGATTCTCAGCCCAGTTGTGCAAATACCAGTGTTAACAGCAGGGAAGTAATGGGAATGGGTAAGTGGGAATGAGCAGACCACACCTGTTGGTGGCAGCCCAGATTTGTCCTGGACAAAAGTGGTTGTGTAATCATAAGCTTATTTGATTTTTTGTACTTAATTTTAAGTGAGTTAAAATATTTAAACTTTCTTCATTATTTTTTTTCCTTTTGGGGAGATAACCAAACACTATAGCTTTGGCTCAGGCATTTTTTTGTATTCTAAACTTGCTATTACCCTCAGTAAAAAATGGTGTCAAAAAGAAAGCAAAACAAAATTGACAACAAACTAACATATAAAAAAAGAAATAAAAATTTATAAGTGACACATTACTATCAAAACACAAAATGACATATCTTTAGTGTATCAGATAGATACTTTCTACTGTGAACTCAGCTTGTGTTACCACGTTACACAATAATTTAATGTCCTCTTAAATTTAACCCTTTCATGGTCTCAAGAATAGCAAAAGAATTTATTATTTTTCAAATTTACTGTATCACAGAAAATAGTAATAAAAAATACTGAATTTATGGTGCAGGCTTGATAGATAAACTTGAGTTACTTGCAAACAACAGGGCTTGCTTCTGGGGAAATGTAATCTGGAGAGTCTTTGGAACTTTCCCTTACCAGAGAATTCTTCCCCCACCACTGCAGCCTTAGTTCACTCCGAAATGAACGAACAAACCCAATTAAATATCAGGCTGCTTCTCACTGACAGGTCATACATTTTGCTGAAAGTAAATAATGCAGAGCGTATTTGTAAGGCTTTAGAGAGGGTCCTGAGGAATCCAGTGAGCATACTCAGTTCTACCTTGCTAAAAATGTCTTTAATCAGGTGAAATACGCTTCAGCTAAACTTGGACGAGTTAGTTGTCTAGAGTTTCTTAAGAGTCAGTAGAAGACACTATTCAGGTGTCATATACCCTACTCTAATATTGATGCTTAAAATAGGTCAGATGAACTGTGCACTGCAAGACCCCCATTTCTTTCCATTGAGTATAAAGATAGTCTGTGCTCTTGACTCCAGCATAGACATCTAATATTAGACAAAGTGAATCTCTCTCCTAGCCAAGTCAAGAAGCTGATAAAAAGCAGTATTTTATGGGCTAGCCAGAGCAACTCACTCACTAATGGATCCAACAGCCCTCCAACACCATGTCAAGACTAATGTAGTGTTGATTAGGAAATAAATGCAAGACCTCTTCGCGTGCACCCCCCTTCCAGTTACAAGTTGAGGCAGGGAACGCTATCATTGGGAGGCTCTCCCCAATGCCCCTCCACAGGACATCAGTGTGAGAGAAGCTCCGTTTTCCCCAGCTTTGTCCTTAGCACCCTCCTTGTCCTAACTTGTCATTTTTACACACCTAAACAGAAGAAAGAGCTTTTGGCCAGACAGGCTAGCGCTGTGAGCACGTACAGACTGGGCAGGACCCTCTGGTGTTGTAGAAGCTCTGCTCTGACCTCTCTTCCTTTACTTCTGAATGATTTTTTTGTTTGTTTGGACTAGATACTGCTGCCAATACCTTCAGGTAGCTTGTGAATATGGAAAACTCAGTTCTCTTGGGTCTTCACAGATAAGGATGTTATCTGATCATTTTCTCCCTCACTTCCCTAAGTGCACAGCCGACAAGATCCAGCAAGCTGTTTTTGCCTGAGACAGAATATTCCCGAGTTCAGGTTATGGCACAGTAACCCACAGTAATATTCTCAGGCTCAGCACGCTATTTGATTTACATGGAGTGTGCACAAATAGGCTGTAGGGCTGTACTCCCAGTTCTGTAAGCACAGCAAATCTTTAAGCATTGGAATAAACACCACACACTCAATTGCAATAGCGCATCAACATGATAGAGGATACTAATGGAAAGAACACAGCAAGTGCAAAGGGCACAAAACCAAGCAGCTCCAAATCAACAGCTTAAACAAACCACGTAGATGTCCTTGAACTGAAGCCTCAGAATGACTTTTTTTGTTTGTTTCCTTTTTGCTATTCTTTTTCTAAGGTCTCTCGCTAGCCTAGCTAAGAAAGAAAGACCAAAAATGACAAGTCAGAGGTAGCCACTGACTGCAATCCAATGTCCTCAGTAAGAGGACAGCTTCTAACACCAGAACTCAAATTTTCCTGAAAGCAACTCCTTCTCTCCATGTCTTTTGTCTTGTTATTTAAAAAATAAAAATCACGTACGGCTGGCATGTAACTGCTTTGTAAGAGTGCTAACTAATGTAGTTTTAAGTTTTAAATATCCAAACAGAGCTTATGCAAAGAAAAATAATCACTCCTG